TACCATACATTCAAAGGCTAGTTACTGGAACATTTTCGTTTTCCCGATGATCCAATCTGGCCATTGATATGTGGTCCGCAGCGTATCCCTAACAGTTTAGAGTTCTTCTAAAACAAATTTCTTTAATACTTAACATAGTAATCAATTAACTCAATATTATTCATTTTTCATATTAAAATTATTAAATTACCTTGAATTAAACAATATATCAGCCCGCGAATTAATGAACCATACAAGGACGAATGATATACTAGCTACTGAAGTTCCTAAAATCATAGTAAGTTGTTCTGTAGCTACTGAAGGCTTCAGAAACATTCTTACACTTAAAGTTTGCCATATAGATTCTGTCCATGTTGAATAAACTCCTGATTTCATATCATATCCTATTCAAAATATAAAAATTTAATGCTTTATTTCAAAAAATAGTTTATAATAACTTAATTAACTTACCATCAATTATAAATGCAGGACTCATAGCTGTACTATAATTTACAGAAGAATTTATACATAAACCTGTAGAATTATAATCATCCATCCAAATAAGATGATTTTCGTAACATGTCGCTTCTGTCATATGTGGAACTTCTTCTCTAGTCAAATATGCAAGAAGTTGACCAGTTAATGTAGTAGCAGTATTCGGTACTCTATGTACACCAACATATAATGATAAAACTTGATTAATTAATTTGGCATTTGGAGGTGAAACAGCATGAAATAAAGGGCAGTTAGCACTTTCTAAGTAACAAATTAACATTTCCGAAATCTGATATTCAACAGAAGAATCATCTATGGATGGAGGCTCATTACCAGATACTTTTTTATAAAGAATTTTAGCGACATCAACTGCTATTTTTGCTAAAACAGTTGCAAGCTCATTTATGCCACTCCTAGCGAAAAATATTTTATATAATAAAAAATTAAGATAAAAATATACTTATATATAAAATTTAAATTATTAAAAAAATCTTAATATTAATACCTATTAAAATTAAGACTTTCTGCATCATCCAAAATTCCATTATAATATTTATTTTCAAATTGTTTACCGTGATTGCTTATAACAATGGCAGTTAAATTTGGTTTTTCTTCTAAGAAACTCTGTATAGATGTAGGTGGAACACTATTTTCCATAATATCTGCATGTAAGACTGTACTGATTTTATTTATTATTTCGTCATTTTGTGCATTATTAGAATGTACATATAATTTTCCTTTAGTCAGCTGACCAAATTCAATCACACTTTTAATATCATCAAATTTTAAATTTACTCCACCTAATGCATTAAAATTACCTTCTTTCAAATCATAAATTAGTCTACTAGATCCTATATAGTCAAAAGCTTCGCCATTTAATAAAGCAAAGACAACATTAGTGTCTGGAAAGAAAAAAATATAAAGACAATTAATTATAAAAACTATTTACACAGATTATATTGTACATTGTCATACTTACTATTCAGTACAATATCTTTAGCTAAGATATTCAAATAATAAGCAGTTGCAAGTAGAGTTACTAATCCTGTAACTACATTGCCTGCTCCAGGTGATATTCCATCAAATAAAGAAGAGGCATCTAATCTGGCTATTACTAATATTATAGAATTGTTATCTTTATTTATGGGAGCTAAAGGCCAATATATATTTCTATCTCCCAATGGATCACAAAATTGTGTTGGATTGAAATTTAACTTAAAATCACTACGTTTAATGCAAGATTCAGAATTAATTGCAGCAAACATGAATGATTTCATTTCTAATGCACATAGTGGTCTATATTTTTGATTTTTTAAATCATGTGCATTATGTGTCAAAAAGCAAGATCTTATAGCTTCTATCAGTGTTTGATTCTAAAATTAAAATTAAAATAGATAATTTAGAGATACTGTGATAAGTAAAAATAAAAGAAAAAAATATATAAATTTTAAGAATAAATGATATAAGAAATTTAAAACCAACCTCTGTATAAAACATTGGGAAAGGCCAATCTTCCATAAGTAATGAAGATCCACTAGGATTCCATGGAGAAGCATCATTGCACTTTTTATATCCTGAATATCTATTAGGACAAGTATCTTCAGGAGAATAAAAATCAGGACGTGGTTGACTAACATTTCTAGCTAATAAAACTCCATTTATCTTATGTGTATTTCTTAATCTAAATAATGTATTTCTGGTAAACATAGAAAATGTAAGAACTACAGTATATTCTCCAGCAGTTGCATTGTATTCTAGCCACCTAATATCACTTTCACCTTCAATTAAATGAATAATGCCAACACTTCCTGACCTATTTGCTATAACAAACAACATAATATTTTATATAAATTAACTTTATTATGAATAATAAATATATTTAAAATAAAACCAAAATTATTGTATAGAAGAAATTGAAAATTAAATTTTTTGCATAAAACTAAATAATGTAAAAAAGAATAATGCAATGTAACATTATACTTACAAGAACATCCAAATTGATGTGTTCCATTGTGTCTACGAAAACAAGCAGCAACCCCTTCAAAATTCATGTAAATCATATCTTTTATTCGTTCTGCAGCCGCTATAAATAAGAATTTTATATTTATTAATTTTATTACACAAATCTAATAATTTTCTTTTATATATATAATAAAAAAAATTGTCGCTGTTTCTAAGTGATAAAAATTTGAAAAAATGAAATAAATATAATTTTTCCTAAATTTATTATTTAAAATAAATAAAAATTTTATAATTTTATAACTTTGTATTTTATTGAATTACTTGCTCGTTAAAAATTACTTAATTCCTTAATATGATAATTTTATTTATTATATTTTTAAAATAAAATTTCACGCTCTTTTTATCTTACCTAAATTTAGGATAAAAAATATTAAAAAGAATCCACAATTTAAATATTTTGCCATTTTTCCTTTCGTGAGACACCTGTCAAGAGTTTGTTTTATTTCGATAAGTACCGTGGATTCTCTTTGTAAAGGTTAGACCTCAAACAAGAGATAGAATAGACCTAACATTCAATGTATTTTTGTTCCATGCTTGAAAATTTCAGAATATCTTTTATCTTTTCTTATCATTTTTATGTCATTTTCAATATTACCGATTCAACAAAAATATTGCAGATATAAAATAGATTAATATTTAATAGAATATTATATTTCATGTTCAAAAATATTCTCTAATATGTTTAATACAGTGAATATAAAAATTATATAAAGTTTAATCACAAAAATTAGTAAAATCAATAGATTTTAAAAATAATTTTTTTAATATATTCTTTTATAAATTATTTATTAATTTATATTACATGTATTAAGTTATATTTATAGATTTTTTTATTGTTACTGATAGTAAACAAATTCATATGAATTCAATTCTGTTCAATCAACTCATAAATTAAAAATTATATTCATATTTTTTATTATATAAAAAAAATATCAATTTTTTTATAAAATGAAAATTTTATAAAATGAAATTTTTTTATAAAAAATGTAAATATTAATATTTATATAATACAAATAAAAAAAAGATCAATAATTTCATAAAAAGAATAATAAAATCAAATATCGAAATTTTATCTATGAATTTCACAAAGCAAAAAGCAAGAAAAGTAATAAAATAATGAGAGAAAGATAAAGATAGATTAAAAATTAGGGAATCAGCGCCATCTTCAGAATGCCGCAAATGAAACACATAAAAAAGGACAAAAAATAATAAGAAAAGGATAGATAGAGTAGGAATTAACTTTTAACGCCATCTCTTATATAATAAAAATATCTCTTTAAAAGCAGGATAAAGTTAAGAATTAACTTCTAACGCCATCTCTTGAATATTTTAAGAAAGATATTTGATGAAATTCTTTTATCAATCAAAAGATGGCACTAAAAGTCAATTCTTATTTTATATTCGTTTTTATCTCATTATTTTTTTTTATATGTTTCATTTGCGGCATTCTAAAGATGGCGCTGATTCTCTAATTTTTAGTTTATTCTTATTTTTCTCTCATTATTTATTTTTCTTGTTTATCGTATTGTTTATTGTTGACGTGTGATCACGAAATAAACAAATTGTAAACATATTTTTATTATTTGTTTTACAAGATTATAGTGTTCTAATTTTTATTGTAAATATAATATTACAAAATATATTCTGATATATTACACAAAGAATTATTTCATAAATGGGAATTAAAAAAAACGAATGCCTATGACAACAAAAAAAGTAGGAAAAAATTTCGAAACATTCTATTGAAAAATAATAGTTTTCATATCTTTCATGAAATTCAAAAAAGCTTTTAATAGTGAAAAATTTAATAATTTTTAATGAACGATGAAAATACTTATATATTTGTTTACAATGAACAATTTTTTTACAATTACAAAAAATATTGACTAATTAAAGATAATTATTTAATAATTTTTAATACTAATTATAAAAAGATACTATTAATATGTATAGTAAACTTGAAGTATTTAAAAAATTATTCTGACTTCTTACATATAATTTATCTTTTGTCTTTTTTAACTTATTTTCTCTATTGAAAACATTCAAATATAAAAGATAAAATTTGAAATTAAATCAAATTATTTCATCATTTCAAAGAAATATATAATATTTATAATAATAAGTCCTGCTAAAAGATAAGTATACTTTTTTTTTATTAAATCAAAATTTATTTTCAATTTTTTTTTAATTATATATTAATTGGTAACTTTTAGTTTTTAAAAATATTCATTAAATATTCAATATTTTTCTAATAGAAATTAAAACGCAATTATGATGACGCATATTGTTTAAATAATCATGTATATATAAATATATACATATATATATATATATATACATAATTGTTCACACGCATAATATATGTATATATATATAATCATTATACATAATATATATATATATATACATATGATATCTATAGACAAATGCTTGTAAAGCTCATACAGGTGTCAATAGGCATGGTACACGTGAGCTTCGCAACACGTGTATCAGTGTCTATACAAACAGCAGTGTTGGCGCGTCAGAAACATTATAGCAAGCACAGTATTGAGACCAAATCAAGTTTGCACGAACTTATAATGAAAAATATTTATTAAAATAGAAAATCCGTGTTTGATTTCGAAAGTGACATATGAAATAAGATTTTTCAACAATAGAAATAAGGATAGTAAATTAAAAAAATATAAAGTGTTATTTCGTTTCGATCTGCAATAAAATGAATAGCGTTTAATAACTGTGAATAATCATTGAGCAGTGATTCAGAAAGAAGAAACATGTAATATGATATTAAAGTTTAATAAATTATAAAATTTATGTTGCATAAAATATTTCCTGATAAAGAAACTAGTAATTTAAAACAGTAATTTAAAACAGTTAATTTTTTAGATATAAAGCGATATTAATGGTTATATTAAATAATGCATTAAAATAATAATTTGATAACAATTATTGTTGTAACAAATATTGTTTGATAACAATGTATCATTGTTTTAGATAATGACGAATTGAATGCTAACAGCGGACTACTGCAGAAGTAAATGGATTTCACTTTTAAAGAACACAAATTATCTTATCCTCAAAAAGCTTTTACCGTTTTTGAGACACGTAAAATTTAATCGTAACCGGGATAATAGGTAATATTTTTTTACGTATGAATTTTCTTATGCTTCAACATATATTATTTGAAGTTTCTGTGTTAAGTAGAACTTTGTTGATAGGATTGTGTTATGTAAGTTTCTTTTTTATGAATTTCTTAAATGAAAATTTTATAATATTACTTAAAAATATTGATTAAATTAAAATAAATAAAACATTATAGCTATGTTTCAAAAAATTAGATTAAAGTTAATAAGTACTTATTAATAGATAAGTCATTGATATCATTAATATCTTCATGACTGTATTGTGTATATAGAGTATCTCAAAAATATAGGAATACCAGGTACAGATTTCTAAGATAATTTCAAGCAACATTTTCTTTTAAAATTTTTCATTTTTGGGATATTCTATATATGTGTATAGACATATAAGTATCATATATGATAAAATATGATATTTATGTTAAGTGAAGTTTAATTTTTATGATTATTCTTTTTTACTTACGATTTCGGCTATTATATTTATATTTTTGACTCAAATAGATTTGTAAAATATAGTTGAATTTTTTTCAGCTTTGTTTTTTTTTTATAATTTTAATATTATATTTAATATATTGTTAATATATTATATATTTATATCGAAGAATATATATTTAATAATAATAAATATATATATATTTAATAATAATATATATTATATTATTTAATAATAATATAATAATAATATTTAATAATTATATTAATTTCATTTCTCTGCGATGTACATAAATCGTAAAGGAAATACGTGAATGATTTACTGGAAATTAGCAATAAGCTTCATGATTTCTTTTTATTCATATTTTGTTAAACATAATATTAAAATATTAAAATATTTATATCATTTCGTTAATATATTATCGTTAATATATTTATCAGATTTTTTTTTAAATACATTTATAATTTCTTTTATACGTTTTATATCACATCATTTAAATTTATTTTATAATCTATATATATGTATTTATAAATAATATAAAATATAATAGACTTATGTTAGAAATATAATATTATTTTATAATATTATTATATGGATTTATAATATTATTTTTCAAATTTTAGATCTTTCTAATGCAGAGATTTAAAGTGATTATAATTCTCTTATATCACTTTCAAAAGTTTCAAAAAGATTTTTTTTTTAATAAGTTATTAATTAAACTATAAAAATAATATAAAATTAACGTTTAGCATAAATTGGACCATATTGAGAAAGAATAAGAATAACTGAATTCGGGAGGAATAGATTTCTATGCAAAGAGTGAAAATTTAAGCTATGGTCACCTTAAGAAATTACACGTGATCTACAAATGCAAACACGTGAATAGTTAGTTAGCTAAGGAACATTTTATTGAAGTCCATGACCGCTTTCTGTGGGTAACGATCCTTTTACTGGATATACGATGAAAGCGTACTGCACATATACTTTTAAAGTATGCAACGGATCGGTGCAACATCGATGCATGCCTAGCACGTGTATGTCCTAGTCACTAGACTCTCGGCCCAATTCGATCAATGTTGTCTCTTGCACAATAATTTTATAACAGCCTTTCCAATCGTCCTTTCGCTTTTTCTCACTGTCTCCTTAGGGGAACACGATAACCACGATCTTGCTTCGAGTCTTGCTCTGAGTCTTGGTGTTGCGTTTCTCGACGTTATACTCCCTTCGATTCGCAAGTTTTTGAGAAGTTATTAAAAGTTATTTATTGTCGAGATTACTCTGCACGCTAATTCTAACGCTGGTTACATTTTGAGAAATCTTTTATGGTTTGCAATTTCTACGGCTGTTTTTACACCCAATTATGTAAATTGTTGGAATAGATAAGATATTTAAATAGTGAATTTTTCTGTGAAAACTTTAAATCGCATGTGAATATAAAAATTTAACATATTATAAACCGGCATGGAATCATTAAGGAATTCATTTGATACAAAGGGGTATCAGAGATTATCTCATGATTAGAATCATTATTAAAATACATAAAGATATTTTGTCATTATATTTTGAATAATTTATTATTTATTTTTTTATAAATCAGTATATTAAAAATCAATTAAATTAAATTGAATTAAAATTTCACTAATAAAGGAGAAAATTTAATGAAGTTATATTTTTTTAAAATAAAAAGCTTGAAAATAAAACTTAATAAAACTTAATTTTTCATTGTAATTTAAAAGATAAAAACTCTTATAAAATTGCTATAAATAATTAGTATAAATAATATTTAATAGATGTTGGCATTAATGAATACTGCAAAACTTGACTTTTTGGATATCGCCAATGATAAATTTAAAACCATTATGAAAATATCAAACAATGACTCGATTGAACAAAAGAAAAATCGTGCTGAAAGTGATGAGGATTCTTCGAAAACTTTACAACTTTTACGTATTAAAGGATTTCCCCGATTGTTACCTGAAGGTTTGATTTTTTAAGAGATAATTTAATATTTCATTTCTTTTTAAATAAATTTAATTAATTTAACATTAGTAATAATTACGAATAATATTATATTAACAAATTATTTTTCCAGGAATTGAAGCATTAGTTAATTACTGCTGTTATCTGCAAGAATTATCATTGTCTTATTCATTGCTTAGTGACGAATTACTATTAGCTTTGAGTTCCGAAAAACAAGTGCAATTGGAAACTCTACGATTGGAAGTACATCCAGAAACAAAACCACTTCCACGAGTGAGCGATAAAGCTTGGTTTTCATTTTCCAATCATTTACCGAATATAAATCTTGTGTTGTGAGTGCACATTATATTAATTTAATTATATTAATTATAAATTCATTGTTACTTCACTATTTTTATTTTCTAAAAAGATTATAATATTTGAACAAACTAAAATGTAAACTATATTATCAATTAGAATTCTTATTGTTATCCAAATGGATATTCATATACAAAAAATACATTTAATTAATTTAATCGATATGTGTATATTGCAATATATTATATTATTTAAAATGTATTAAAAAATATAATTCTTTGATTTCTCTTTTTTAATTTGATTTCTCTTTTAATATATTATACAATATCAATTTATGCATGTAATAAAACATTTCATCTTATAATAAAAATAGATTATCTTATATGACGAATGAAGATGATCAAAGTCCGTTATTCGCACCGTATGTTCCTATAACGCACTTGTATTTTGGAGAAACTCCATCGGAAACAATGATACTACATATCGGATATCAATGCCCCCGTTTGGTTGAACTAGTGATTGCAGCTTATGGTTCCGGTTTACTTGATCGTGCATTACTCTTTGTCGCTGAACATTGTCCACGTTTAAGTGCTGTGGCTTTGGGTGATTGTGAAATCACGTATGTAATATGATCTAAATTTAAATTAAATTTTGCCAATAAAAATTCAAATTTTAATTTTTTTTTCTTTAAATTAATATAAATAATTTCTTTAAATTAAAATAAAATGATAATAATTTACTTTTTTGTTTTTTTTAATATATTTAGTTGCTCAGGATTATTGGAATTTGTTACACTCTGTGCAAAACGTTTGCAAATACTGTATATTTGGGAAACATCATTAATAGAAGATTCTGAACTAGACATCACAACACTATCGAAGAATGTATCATTGCTTCTTGGTCGTACTTGGGTACCTGAATACATACCACTATGTTGAAATTTTAAAAAATGATGTAAGCAATTAAAATAATAATTGATGGTAATTTGCGCATATATTAAAAATATTTGCATAAGTGATTAAACTTTACGAATATATGTATATTATTTATCTTCTGCCAATTTTTACATACAAACAAATGTAAGAAATTATAATTTAATATTGATTAATAATATTGATTAATATTATTTAATTATAGATTTTTAATAACTTTAAGATAGATTTTTCAAAAAAAAATTTTTTTTAATATAAAAATGCATAATTTAGATAAAAAATGTCTATATTTTTTAATAGATGTATTATTGAAACAATATAATGATTGTAACAAGAAGAACGTAAGAAAATTATAATTAGTAGTAATAAGTTTTATTTGTTTTGTTATATCGATTCAACGTTACTTGATGAATCGGATACGAACTATATGTATGAAAAAAAAAATGCAAAAAGCCTCGTATTGTAAAAATTGCTCGTGTCTATTAATACCAAAAATATAAACTTTATTAGATTATAATGATATATCTTGTATGTGATATATATAAAATAAAATAATACCACTATGTATTTACCTTCGCTCATGATAGATATGTATAATATACAATAATTGATATAGTCTATAATTGTAATACAACAGAGTATGTACATTATTTCTACATAACACAATAAATGATTGGATATACTTAATAATTATAATTATCTACTAATGTTAACAATTACGATGTCCTTAATATTTATTTGTTCTTTAATTCACGCAATTTTTTTTCTTATACATCTTAATGATGCTATTCTAAGGATGCGAGGCGCTCAGTCTTATATCCCAGCCGATATATCCAATCTCTTATTTTATTAAGGCCGATAGAAAACCTATACTCGAACATACAAACTATGTTCACAATAAACTATATGTTAATTGTAAACAAAAATTTATATCATTTTTTATTATAAAAATATTTAATGTTATTAAACATAACATATAGATCATGCCAAACAAATGTCCTTATACTTTTATAAACATCATAATATATTCATTTTCCATTGAAAGGAATATTAATGTTTTAAAAAAATATAATGAAATTTAAATCGTTCAATATTTTATAAAAGCATATGTTTTTTACATTATCATTTACAAAATGTATTATTCATAGCATTTATTAAGCAACTAATGAATAGTTAAATGTATACAAAATTAACTTAAACACTTAAAGTAACAGAGCCCTTTGAACACGTTTATTAAAATGCTTATCTCTTCATTAATATACATATAAGAATTTTTAATGACAAAATATTGCAAAATATTTTTAGGAACATTTAGAACAAAAATTATTCTAATATAAATATAACTTTTGTTTTTTATTATATATTACCATACTTATTATAAATATATGTTTAAAATGTTATTAAAAAAAAATTAAATTTATAATATATAATTAAAAAAGATTTATGTATACATAGAACATTTTTATGAAAATAAAATGTAATAAGTAAGAAATTTTATTATTCAGATTTTGTTAGGGTTTTTGTTCATTAATTAATCTTTTCAAATTCACTAATTTAAGAATAAAATCAAGTCTTACTTATTAGAAAAATTTAGATTATTAAATAATAAAAACGAAAATTTTTAAAAAGAAATGTAAAATATAATGTCAAATGGCAATTACTTTAACTGTTCACAGCTTTACTTATACTTTTTGTTTTTTGTCTATATATATATATATATATATATATAATATAATATAATATAATATATATTATATTTATATAAATATTTTTTTTATAAATGATTCAATATTGATAAATTTCGTATTAACTAAAAATCAAACCAGACAACCACACCAGAATCTAACTATATACATAATAAATTTTTCGGGCATGATCTGTACAATACTAAGAAATTCTAAAACTTGGAGTCTATTTACATTAAAGATTTTCCTTCATAACAAGCTTCAAATTTACATTTATTACATTCTGCAGGAAAATCTATTTAAAAAATAAGTATACATTACAAATTAAGCTTAACTTTGTACAGATCATGATACCGAGGTTTAGTTTAAATTTTAAACAACATAGTTTATAGCATACAAAACATGTCTAAGATAATTTTTTTAGCACCAACTTAGGCATGTTTATCATTCCACTATTCACTACTTTTGGCAAAGTAATAATAATGTTATCGTTACGTAACAAGTGTAATCGAATAACAGGCTTAATAAAATAGGTCGGCAATTATTCTATATCATTATAAAGGAGCAATCAAATAAGTGGACGGGTTGGTTGCTTATTCTACACATAATTTAAGTGTTTGGATACAGAAAAAATGAATGCAGCTTTAAGAAATATAATATTTTTGAGCACTGCAACTGCTAAATTTGCTCGTGGGACCTTTTTATATTTATATTTTTATATAGATATAGATATTTAATATTTAACTTTATTGTAATTATTTATTTAAAAAAAATTTTTAACGCTTTTTCTACTAAAATTTTCACAATAATTGTGAAAAGCTTAAGCCCCATGAACAAAATAGGTAATATAATTATTATGATTGCCTTGGCGCATAATATATTTAACAATAACAAGATTTTCATTACGATATATCGTATTGAAAATAATAATTTTATTTCCTTCTTTATAATAGATTTCGCTATTATTTACGCACCTGTCCATTACTCGTTAAGATATGATATCTGGTATTAACCAATCATATCGATAAAAATATTTTATATACCCGAATAGGGCCTGCAACATAAAGTATTTTTTAAATTGATATGAATTTTATTATTTATAATTATTTATGTATATTATATGTATTTGTATAATACCGAAATTATACAATCAATCCGGCATATCAATAGATATTATAGGTACAACAGGTTTTGTCAGATCAATTTTTTTAACATGTTTTTCATTTTTTTCTGATACCATTGGTTCTGATGGTGGTTGGTCCTGTTCACTTCTTGGTTGATAAGAAATATTACCATATTCTTGAAGTAATGGGCACAAACTCAATAAAAAATGACAAAAATCTTTTCTAATACCAAACCACCCTAAAATTAATAAAAATTTTTTATTTTTAATAATTTTGTTATTATAAAATATCTAACTATATTTAACATTTAAATATAATTTTTTTACATCTATTTCCTCCTTTTGCATCAAATGACATAAAAATAAGTGTTATGTGAGATATTAAAAGTGGCATTGCTACTGTTGTATAATTCAATGAAATATCTCCATCCAATTTATTTGCTAACAATACCTAATAAATAAAATCTTGATTAAAAAAAATTTATAAGAAAAGATTAATTTTAAAATTATTGCTTAATTCTTACTTGAAACACTAAAATTGGAACTACAAGAAATGTATATGCCAATGCTGAATTCAAAGATGTCCGCCTTTGCCTGGCATTAATCTGTGGGGTTCTTAATAAAACAGCAGCAAATACTATAGCATATAGAACTGCAACTAAAGATAAAGATAAAAGTGCCCAAAGAGGAGCAAACACTACTTCCCAACTCCATGTTATAAAACCATCTAATCTTAATGCCAAGAAAATAAATTGTAAAATATTTACTGCACAAAATAATTCAAGTTCAAATGATCGATCATGTTTGGCAGCCCATATACACACCTATAAAAAAGAAAATATTTATATTTTCTGTAAAATTAATTTATATCACTCTGCTACATAATTAAAAATTACTTACAACTATTGATACTGCAGAGATAAAAATAAGAGGTATAAATACAAGCATCCAAAGATGTCTTTCAGATTCTAATTTATCACATACTAACAATTCAAACATTAACAGAATTAAATGTAAAGCTAATGTAATTAACATTGCTTTATAATGTACATAAGCATCTCCTTCCAATCTTGCATGTGGATGCCTCCACCAAATATAACTTCCAATAGTAGCACCTAATATTACCATGCTTTTCCAAAACCATATTGGAGTAAATACAGTCCAATAACTCCATTCTATGAAACCATCCAAACGAAGTGCAAATAATGTTGTAAATATCATCAAACAGGTGTGTACTAAAAATTTACTAAAATATAAATTAAAAAATAATTAATATTTATTGTTTTGATTATATATATTTTTTATTATTTATTATTTTAATTTATTTTTATATAGACAAATATTATTAATATATATTATTATATATTTATAATTCATTTTAGAAGATTCACAATTATATATACACATATATTCACTTAATTAAATTTGATAATAAAAATATATTACGAATTTCATAATAAATTATTATCAATTGAATTTATTATTAATCTTATTTATTTTTTAAATAATTACAAAATAATTATATATGAAAAAATTGATAAATTGATTTTTGAGAATTTATAATAAAAGCTAACAACAATCCCGTAATAATGATAAAACGTGATAAATAAAATAGTAGTTATTTATAATTTTCTGATTTTTTTTCTCGTGAATACATATCAAATTAAAATTAAAAATATTAATAAATATTTGATTAAATTATCAAATATTAAATCCATATTAAATATTAATTTTAAGAAAGATTATATTAAAAATTAAACACAAGTATATCTTATAATAAAATTTATATAATTTCATTATTAATATATTCTATTTCATTATATCATAAAATTTTATTATGAAAATCAATAAAAAAAATTTTTTAAATTCATGTACGAAGATTTTTACCTTGGATTGAAATCTTGGAACAGTGTTTGAAGATTCATGATTATCAGAACAATTTTATAGGCCAACTACTTGATGTATATCTTTGTAATGACCACCGCGTAAACATATATTCTACTAAAAATTGTTTCATTTATCGCAAAATTTATCGCGGAAGAATATAAACGGTGAGTTCTGCATTTGCATTTGATGAAAAAAATAAATCCCACCGTCTTACATGCAAAAATCCGAATTGCACTGAAATTAGTCAAAAGTATACAGCTGTCGACATTCGATATATCAAGTAACTTAAATGTTAGTAGAAAACTTCGTACTTATGCAAATTGCAATTTATAAATTGTAAACGTTTAAGATATTCATTCTTACATAATAAAATTGTATACATGTATACATAATAAAATTTTTATTTAAAATTATTTTAATTGAATTTTGAATTGAAAATAATAATTTATTTTTTAACATATTAATATTTTTAAAATTATTAATATCATTTAACATATTTAAAATAAGCTTATAATTAAATACATAGTCATTATAACTATGAATATATATTTTTTTAAATAATGTTATTTAATTCGGTTTTTTATTTATAATATAACTTTTTAAATTGTATAATATAACAATTTTAACTATTAATAATAAATAATTTATTTATTAATAATAGAGATTCAGATAATATATATTTAAAAATTTAATTTTCAAATAATTGCAAATAAAATGTTAGTTTTTAAAAAGATTATTTAAAATAAACTGAAAAACAAAATAGAAATAATTAAAATGTTTCAACCAATCCGCGCTTATTTGTTGATAACTAAGTTATAGATTGCTCTGCCAGTTTCCGTTCCAGCGTAAACGTGTTTCTTTTCGTGCGTGACTTCAATTATGGCGGTGGGTAAAAATAAGGGACTTTCGAAAGGAGGTAAAAAAGGTGTTAAAAAGAAGATGTAAGTAAATCATAATATTTCCTTGATGTACTTTAAATATTTCTTATAAAAAATATTTAATTTTCTTTTTGAAATTATTAAAGATGCTTCATATTATAATAGATTCTCTACGTCTGACATTCAAATTTCATATGTATATTTTATGTTTAATATATTGTTTTTATCAATATCTATTAATTCATATAATTTTAGAATATATCATGTTTTTTTAGATATAAAAAAGATTAATTCAAAAGTTTTTATTTTAATTATAGATTTTTATTCATTCTTTATTGATTTCTTTTAAATAGTATTAATATAAATTGAAATATATCGAATCTGATGCAATACATTAACATAATTAAATTTTGAGTTGAAATTATTAATTATGATTAAATTGTGTATGCGTATTAAAATATGAATATTTCTTAATCATTGAAATCCTAACCTAATTTTTCATTTGATACAGCGTCGATCCCTTTACTCGTAAGGATTGGTATGATGTTAAGGCACCATCTATGTTTACCAACCGTCATGTTGGCAAAACATTGGTCAATAGAACTCAAGGAACAAGTAAGATAATTATTTTTTAACTTTATGTTAAAAAATATTTGCAACTCCAGCTCCATCAAAGTTTTATTGTTACTTTATGGCGTTTTATGTTGCATAGAGAATAGCAGACAGTTACCATAATATTATTTTTTATGTGATAATATTAAAACTAATTACTGCTACAAATTTATGTAAAAAGTACAATTTAATATATATTAATAATAATTACTTATAATTTTATTGTAATATTTTAAATTATTTTTCATATTAATTTTATATTCATTATATTGCAGAAATTGCTTCTGAGGGATTAAAATACAGAGTATTTGAAGTATCCTTAGCAGATTTACAAAATGATGGAGATGCAGAAAGATCTTTTCGTAAATTTAGATTGATTGCTGAAGATGTACAACATCGTAATGTATTGACAAACTTCCATGGTATGGATTTAACTACAGATAAATTAAGATCCATGGTTAAAAAATGGCAAACTCTGATAGAAGCTAATGTTGATGTAAAAACTACTGATGGATATTTGCTTAGAGTTTTCTGCATTGGTTTTACTAACAAAGATCAATTAAGCACAAGAAAAACATGTTATGCTCAACATGCACAGGTTGATATTTATATAAAAAATTTATACAAATTTATAAATATATTATTTTCATTTTTAATATTTGCAACTTAAAATGCATAAAGGTAAAATAAACACTTTTATGTTTTATGAAGTTGCATAAATTAATAGACAGTCGCTTACCACACTATTTTTGGACTAGAAAATAGTGATATTTGATGTTGCAACATTTTTTATTAAAATATATTATGGGATATCTTTGAAAGTTGATTCTAGAAGCCAAAATAAATAGAAATAAAGTCAAAAAATATCAATTAAAACTTATTTGTAATTTATTTTAAATTAAAAATAACTTAGAATTGTGTTGAATAAAGCAACAAAATGGAATGCAATAATGAAATAACAAAGATAGAATGATCTTCATTCTATCTTCCACTTTGCTTTGTCCAATACAAATTTCAATTGCTTATAACTTAAGTAAATATTTTTGTATACCAATTTTTATGTTTATTTTGATTTCTAGAATTGATCTTTCAATATCTAATAAATATATTAATACTGTATGAATTTATTATTCATATAGTACATATATAAAGTTATTTATGTAGAGTTTTTATATTTAGGTCAAAAAAATCAGGCAGAAAATGGTAGATACAATTACGAATGATGTTACAAAAAGTGATTTAAAGGGTGTAGTCAGTAAGCTTTTACCAGATGCTACTGCAAAAGACATTGAAAAAGCTTCACAAGGAATTTATCCACTACATGATGTTTATATTCGCAAGGTATATAAGTAAAAACAATTGTTTCTATAATTTTAGTATCTTTTAAAAAAAATTCGATAAATAAAAATACATAATATCATAGGTTAAAGTATTAAAGAAGCCACGTTTCGAATTGAGCAAATTACTGGAGCTCCACGGTGACGGTGCGGGTAGTAAGAGTGAAGAAGTAGGCGAAAGTGGTTCAAAAGTCGATAGACCAGAAGGCTATGAACCACCTGTACAGGAATCCGTTTAAGAGAATAATTCTCTTTCATAATTTGATATAAATAAAAACCACGTTTCACTGTGAATATCATTCTCTATTTTATTTTTCTTTTATTTACCTATTTATTGTTTCCTAAAAAAGGAATATAAGATAAAATTCAAAATTTGATTTTATTTGTAAATATTTATTATTGAAAAAATAAATTTATTATATTAATTATTTTACTAATTAAAAAAAAACTATAAATCAATAAAAAAAGAAGATCCATAGTTTATTTCGTCGCATTAAAGTTCAACATTAAAACATTAAAAACTTTATAATGTGAATAGTTAATGTAGTAAGGTTCGAGTGACAAACAACCAACTTCCTATTAATAGTGCTTTGAAACTCTCATTCCAGGATGCAAATACATAAATTAATAATATCAAGAAAAATATTTTTGTTATGACATCAATCCAATACATGCTGCAATAAAAATTATATATATTAGTAATTAATAACATTTTATAAAACTTTCAAAATTTAATTTTTCTAAATAGATTTTTCTAAATAGATTTTACATTCTTAAATGTCTTCGAGCAGCTGGTAAAGTTTCTGGCGGTTCGTTCAATATATAAATTCTTGCTGCTCTTATACATGTTTCAAAATATGCGTCTATATCCATATCTTCTCCATGTAATTGATATTTTTCATATTCCACAGGATTAAGTTTATTTCGTACTTCCAAGAGATTTGAATTATCGAAGTCCCACTGATTGTTGGCATAATATTCAAAAACTTCGAAACCTTTTTGTATCCGACGTTGTACACGGCACATACTATTCATAGTAAGAGTTTTATATCCTTTAATGTCGTTAAAATGATTTGATTTGGAAATAATTGATCATCTATAAATGAAAAATTATAATTTTAAAATATACTTACATTGGCTTATAACCTGCAAGGAAAATAAGTGCATCTATGAAATAAGCAGGTATCATATGAAAGAATAAAACACATATATTATGCATGAGTCTTGATCTTTTCATACTTCCACCTGGATACCAAACAACCCCGTTCAAAGGAACTTTTTCTGTTATTTTTCGACCCCTGGCAATGATTTCTGCCCATGATACCTAAAATTTTCATGTTGAGATACATTGAACGCTTATTGTATATATAAATTATTATTACTAATTAAAGATAATTTACCTTAAATTCACTACTGCTTGTAAGATTATAAACTCTCTTTTCATGATCCTTACAATAGATGAAATTCCAAGAAATAGCAAGAATTGCATTTACTGCAATATCAACAGGAAGATAATCAGCATAACCACTGTCATTACAATACATCGTTCGAATAACACCTTTTCCAGCACCAATCAAGAGTCCTGTTGGACCGTTAATATTATCTGTCCATCCTGGAATTGGTTCTTTCCATATTGGTATAACTATGCTTGGTCTAAGATTTAAAATAATTTCCAATTAAAAATATTTATTATTTCTATAAGTATTTATTTTTATTTATACCTTAATATAATTGCTGGAATATATGGCATTGCTTCTTCAACAAGGCTTTCTGACAAAGCTTTAGTAAAGGCATATGTATTAGGAAGATGTGCTAAAATTTTATCTGTCATAGCTTCAACTACATCATCATCCATCCATTCTACGCATTTAATTATTTTATGAGGATCTCCAGGTGGTGGATACGGTTTTTCTCCTAAAACCTGAGAAACAAATTTTGAAAAAATTATGAAAAAAATGTAAGTATTCGTATTTAATTTTAAATATTATTAGAGATATAATACTTTTTCTTCAAGATGACAATATGCTGTACTGATATGAGCAAATAATTTTAAATGCTTCATCTCTTTGGCTAATTCCAACATTTGTTTTGTACCACGCGTATTTAATAATACTGCTTTTTTCAACATTTCGTCAAATCTATAATAATTTAATGATCAAATTCAATATTATTTTTGATATTATAAATATATGTTTTTAATACATTCGTTTTATACTACCGTACTGTAGCAGCTGCATGATATACAATATTAATCTTTTCACAAAGCATTTTTCTATCTTCTGAAGAAAGACCAAGTCCAGGTAGCGATACATCTCCGTTTATAACAGTTACAGATTTTTTAAGTATTTCTTCACCTCTTTGTTTTTTAACTTTTTCAAATAGCTGAAATAATTTTTCAATTATAGTTTTTTGTTAATTATTCATTAGTTTTATATAATATTTATAAATATAATATAAATTGATGTATTAAATTCGAATTAGAAATCGTTCGTTTTAAGAAATTCTTTTTAAATATGATTTTATTTGTTTTATTTTTATTTTTGTTGTTGTTTATTTATTTAATTAATTGATATTGTAAAACCATTAAAAATTTTTTAAGTTTAGTTAGATAGTTATCATAAATAATTAAATATAAAATCTGAAATACTATTATGCATTTATATGAAATAATTTTTAGAATTGCTATTACGAATGATGTGATTAATAATTTCTTCATTAAATAATATATATATAATTACATATATAATTATTTTCTTTTATAGAAAAGCAATCAACTAATTATAAGAACATTTTTACATATAATTATAATTAATATAATATGATCAAATTCTTCAATCTTCATTGTATGTATATGAAATGTGATTTGTATACGTATATATTACGTGAGAGAATGAGGTCCAGAAGTCAGCAGTACAGAAGATATGACATAACAGACCAGTTGAAAAATAAGAACTTTCACTGAGTATGAGACTTGATAATAATAGAGGTAATAACCTTTGCCATCCTTTTCTCTATGATACGGCCTTGACTTCGTTCCTTTTTGTTGTAATATAGGAATCATATCTTTTACCGTGCAAATCGTAGATTTCATTTTTAATAAATTCGAAGAAATAAGCAAGAGTTGTGTAAATCATCGGAAGTATTTCAAAACGTATTGCATTCTATCAAAGATGAAGATGACACTTTAACTATTAAATAACTCTTTTTTATTTGATTCATGACATCATATATTATATGTTAGCTAGAATATTCCTCATTATATTGATTACTACCTGTTAATATATGTCTTTTTTTTAATTATATAGAAATGTGATGTAATATTCTATTTAATTGCTTTTGCTAATTTTAATAAATAAATTTTTTTTAGATTTAAATAAAATATATAAGTTAATAATAATTTGAAAATTATAGTTAAATCAATTATAATGAATTATAATTTGATGTATATGTATTTTTTTATCATAAAATATTCTAATAGAAACGATCAAACCTAAGTTGATTAAAATTTACGATATTTGCATTATGCCAGTCACTTTTATTTTTTATTTAGATCAAATTTGGTCTTTGAAAAATTTTTTTTATTTTTTTCAATTGTATTTGATTTTAATCAATGTAATATATTTTCTTTTTATTGGATAAAATTTATCGTTAAATAATATTTTCTTGTTTAACAATAGATTCAACAAAATATGAAATCGTTATTACATCAAAATGTATTTGTATAACTAACGTTATTTTTGTACAACTAGTTTTGAAAAATTTCTTTTCTTTTCGACAGTGAAAATAAATTTTTCAATAAAAATGAGTATCAAGGTGCTTTTCTTGCACAATTTAATCTTTACATAATTAAACTTTCTCCATGTGTTTTACAAGATACGTGTTGCAATACCTTACGCATTAAAAAATCTACTCTTACTATAACACTATTATAATAGTTTCTAATATAAATTTAATAGAAATTATTTTTCATAAAATGTTTTTTAATAATATATATATTTATTTATTTTTTCAATTTATTCGTTTAAATAATGCAATTATCTCAAATATTTTTCTCAGAAATTAGTTTAGAAAAAATTACTTCAAACAATAATATATACAAGAAACTTGTTTACGTGTTCATAAATGGTTGAATTGCTTTCTTACGTAATATCATCAAGACATATTAGATTAATGGAATTTTTTTATGACAATAGTTTAAAATCTATATCAGATCTATATTATTTATATTTTTATGCTAATATTTATTTTGTTCAAAAATTGAATAATCACATAAAATTCCAATAAGATTATATATTTACCGGTGAATTAAAAATTTCCTCTAAGCGATGTTTTGGATTTTTTTCTTTTTTCGTTCTGATCAACATATAAATTTGTTTTATGTCCGGTAAACATCTGAGAAATTTTTCAACAACGACTTTTCCTAAAAATCCAGTGCCACCAGTGATTAAGATGTTCTGATTTTTGAAAGATTCTGCTATTCTATCAGATATCTCTTCCACTTTTGATTCTGCCATCGTATCTAATCAAAAAATAATCATGATTATAATATGTAAATTTTTTATATAGATAAATACCTTTAAAAAATAATTATATTTATGCTAAATTCTAAGAATTAAATGTAATTTCAATGTATAAAAAAGGTATTATCGTTGGCATTATACTTAATGAAAATTACAGTGTAAATTTCAAAAATTGCAACATATAAATATTTCGCAATTTTGCAATTTTTATTTGTATGCATACAAGATTTCAGTTTTCCAAACAGTATTACATATGCAAATGAATTTTTTCAATTAAACATTATTTATAAAGCAATACGTAAAATAAACATGCATTTTGAAAACTATTTTTTGTAAGAATTTAAGTGACAATAAGTTTTCAATAGTAGTAATCNTATATATTATATATATTATATATATATTATACATATTATATATATATATAAAATATCATATTATATATATATAATATTATACGTAATATTATAATTTCGCAATAATGACTAATTGTCAGTCAAGTGATTAAAGCAAATATAGCAAAAATTGAACAATTTAAATCTTAAACATTAATGGTTGCAATTATCAAGATAATGATTGTAAATTATCTATGATGAAATAATGGAAATGATGAAATAAGTGGAAATAACACTAATATTTTAGAATTATATTATTATATCCCGCAAGGGGGACCGACGAGTTTCAAGACTTGTTTTATTTTGTCCTGAACTCGTTGAGTCTTTTGGGTGGTGGCGTACCCACGGACCTGAGCCAAATATGAATTTTTCTTTTTCAATTAAGTTACTTATAACTTTTTCTGAATTCGGTAGCGATGAAATCTTGAATATTTCAAATTATTTTGACATATACTATGATGTAAAAATATTTTGAATATTTTTAAAAATTTAAAAAAATATAAATTGAAATTTGAAAACTAAATTAGATAGATATTGATTTAGAAAGAAAATAGAGCACGAAAATGATGAAATTATAAAGCATTAAAATTAAGTACCAAAGAAATATACAAATTGTTTTATGAAATGAAATTTGCATAAAAGAACAAACATTATGGTTATGCAAACATCATGAGATGGCGTAATAATTTTTACAGTGATGTAAAAACATCATCTGTGTTGACAAAGAAGCTTGGATACTTTGGAAAAAATCTTTATACTAAAAGATTCTTATCGGTTTTTTATTGAAAAATTTTTTTTTTATTTCTATTTCTTGTTGATTTTTGAATAAGCGTTACATAATAAAAGTCTGAATTATTAATTTTTAAATGTATTTGTTATATAAGTGATGCAACCAAGATTAAATAGTTTTTTATGATTTTATAAAAACATTTTAAAAACTTAATAGGAAATTGTTATTATTTTAATCTTTTGTTATTGAATTATATATTGAAATTTAATTTCATTGATAATCGCATATTAAAATATTATATTAAATTTGATACATTAAATATTTTGTAATTATGTAATTTAGAACATTGAATAATTAAATGCGCAATGATACTCAACAATGTTATCTAATATTGAGTATTTGATATCTAATATTTTATATTAGAATATATAATATTATGAATATATAATGACATAGTTTTTAATTTAAGAAATCATAAATTCTTTAAAATAAACCATAAATAACTTTAAAATAAATTTGAAATAAATTTAAATAACTTCAAAATAAGTTGAATCATTCTATTATTCATTAGAAAATTTCGATCACTATTACTTTTGAATATTGCTTCACTTATAATGTTTTCATATTCGTTGGTTTTCAATAATTATATTTAATCATATTGTTACAGATTTAAGAAAATTTAATGTTGTAAAGACTGATAAATTATTATATATTTATTATAATATAAATATAATATTATAATTATTATATTTATTATATATTTAGCATATTTACATTTTTTTATTCATATAAAAGATTTATAAAAAATAAATCTAAATAAATCTAAAACAATAAACAAACGAAGAAACAAAATTAAATTTTACTTTATTATCTAAAAAACAAAATTTAATTAAATTGTATATGTTTCAAAAATAAGATGAAAAAAGAAAGAAATTATATACTTTCAATGAACACTTACTTTTAAAAATAAAAAAAATTTCTCAAGCTTATTCCTCAAAGTTCACAGGTGAATAATGGTGAACAAAATGAAACACGACTGTTACTTTACAAGTGACCGGCTTTAGTCAATCGGTGTTACTTGGACGGTGAGCACGATACAGACTGAGAAAGTATAATGTTGGCCCAATATTTTCTTAGATGATCTCAATGTATTCCCTATTTACTTTCGTATGGTCGTTCGGTTGCTCCCACCCTTATTCAAGAGAATAACTCAATATTTAAACTATATAATTGCTTATATATGTATATATATATATATATATATATATATTCAGTCATATTTCATAATTGAGATTTTCATAATTTTATTGAAATTATATTTCATTATTATGACAATTTTTTGAAAAATATGTGAATTATAAAGATATATTTATATATATATATAGATATATATAGATTAATATGATTCATTTTAAGATTAAACTTTGAATATATTAGAATAAATGTAAATAAATTCTTATAAATATCAATATTCACATTAGAACAGTTAATTTTAATTTCGATTTTTTTTTTTCTCTTGATAAAGATTTAAAACTTTATAGATAGTTTAAAATTAATGTAACATAATTTAAATTGTAATGCGATTAATGTAATTCAAATTTAATGCAATCTTTAATCTATTAAAGATACATAACATTTAATGCTATTTAAAAGTTAATGATGTATATGTATGTATATATATTTACTTTAACTTGGAAAATTATTTTAACAAAAAAAATAATTTTACGAATTTGAAAATTTAAGGATTTAAAATAACATAAAAATATTAAGTCTTGATTAATTGATAATATAATTAATTTAAAATATTGATCTTGAAATCAATGAAATTATCATAGATAACATTTTGATATGCAATTCGTATAATTTTTTTTTTTACAGTCCTTTTTCTTCAATTAAAAAAGGAATTATTAAAAAAAAAATAAATTAATATAAAACAAAAAATTATGAAATATGAAACAAAACTAAAAATATTCTTGTTTAAAATATATATATATATATATATATATACGTCTATGTGTAATGTATACATCTGCAATGATAGTTAAAGAGTGAGAGTTGAAATGAAAAAGTGAGAGTGAAAATGTAAGTATTGGGGAAAAAAAGAGAACATGTACACGAGTGAGAACGAAAACGGATGAGCAAGACGAGTATAAGATTTCGACACTCTTTGGGTACTACCGGATTCATGTGCTTTCATGATTTTTCATTACATTTTCATATAAATCGTTCGTTGACTAAAAATTCATAGTACAAGTGTTCAATTAATCAATATTTTTTTTTATATTTTTCTTTCGATATTTGACTACAAATTTTTGTTGGCAATTCTTTTGTAATTTATATATATATAAATCATTCTTATATAATCCTGTATAGTCGCTGAATAATTTTATTCTTTACGTTTTTTATATAACGCGCAAAAAAATAATATAAAAAATACATGAAAAATAGATAAATTAAAATTTATTTTATTCATTAATATTTAGAATGTTAATAATGTTGATCTAAACTATAAATTATAAAACAATAACTTTGGTCTAATATTAATATTTCCAAACATTTCTATAATCTAAAATCATTTTTATAATCTTATAATTCATGGAACATTTTATTTAAAAAAATATTCGTTCTTTGAAAAATAAATTTGAAGAAACTTTCTGATCTTTCAGAATGTAAGAATAGTATGAAAATTAAATCCAAATATAATTTTATTTAATATTTGTAAAAACGCTTGTTTTTTAGATTAACATAATATTGTAATATACTATAGATTATTATTAGTCATGTATAGTAGATATTTCATAACAAATAGCGAAAACTTTTCTATTTCAAATATTACTTCAAATATTTGCATGACTAAGAAATGACGAGAAAAGAATATTTCACCTGAGAGATTGTACGAACAGACATGTCGCGTGAGAGCAAGAATTTCGAAATTTCAAAATGTCATGACTTGATCAGATATGTAATTGCGTCAAGAATTTGAAAATCTAAATAATCATATTATAGAAACTTTTTTATACTGATTTAAATTGTATTAATCCAAAATTTTTCTCTAATAGGAAATATACTATGAGATTATTTTAATTAAAAAGGAAGAATTAATCTTTGAAAGTAATTTTGTATTATGTTATTGATAATGATATCAAATATAATGGTTGATATTATTTCTTTATTATATTTTATTTACTGGCACATTCTTTACAAATTAAATAAAATCTTTATTTATTTTATTCAAGCACTTAAGTCAAATTTTTATAAATATTCTAATATATATTTTAAAATTTAATTATTAAAACAGTCTTTTTACGTCTTTTAAGAAATAAATATATTTATTATTATAATAAGTATCTTAAAAATATCATAATTGCAAATGCATGTTCTATGATAAAGCAATAAACAATATTATATTGAATTATATCTTATTAAAGAATCATTATCTCATTGTATACAATAAAATAAAATAGTTAATTAATAATAATTGTGAATATAATGTAAAACATAATTTTTAGCATTTGAGAATAAAATAAAATAAAAATAAAGAAATATATTATCATTTTCAGATAAAATCAATTATTATAATATATCTATAATCAATATATCTATAATTTGTTAAGTTCAAATATGATCGTAATATGTTTAGATGAATTTATCCAAGAATAGAAACCATATAAAGAAGATTGTAAATCCGATCTTAACAAACCAATCAGCAAAATATAAATATCTAATAACTTTCCGTGCACGAGGTATGGTAGAAAGATCATCTTTTAAACAATATTGTCTAACGCCTAATATATATTTCAACATGTAACTATCCCAAGATATAGCTTTTGTATCCATAAAGAATTTTTCTCTATCAGATGAATTTAATTCAAGTTGCAATTTTTTCATGCGGTCATTTCTGAAAATCGAAATTAAATTAGAATAAAATTTTAGTTTTAATATAATGTATCATAATTTATCATTAATTAAAATTTTTTTATATAATAATTTATCAGAAATTAAAATTTTCAATAACACTGAAAAATCCGAAGATTTACAACTTAGAAAATAACTTATTGAAAATTTTAAAAAATATTTCTGCATAATTACCGAAATTCCCATTCTTTAGTAGTATAATATTGTATCAATCCTATACCATTATTAACTTTTTGATGCACTCTTATTAAAAATGGTTTATTTCCAGTTAGAAAAATAATAATATCTATGAAAATTGCAGGTATATAATGGAATAAGATCACGCGTATCCAATGGTAAAATTTTAATGTTGTAATACTTCCACCTGGATACCATAGTAAACCTTAAAATAAAATTTATAGATTAATTTTGGTTAAATAGATTAAAACATTAATTGTTTTTTATACATAGAATTATTATTAACTTGCTTTATAAATATTATTATTTTATTTATTTCATTAATATAGAAAATTAATTCGTTTCATTAATTATATTATAGAAATATATATTATAATTCTTTTATTAACCTGTGAATGGATACATTATGGTATATTTCTTTCCAGTTTCTACAGCATAACCCCAAGAAATCGGGTTTTCAAGTCCAGAAGTAATGTTCATAAATATTGGTTTTTCAGGTTTTTCTCTTCCTACTTTCCATGCCAATCCAATCATTGCATTAATCGCCATGTCACAGGGAATTAGATTCAATAAATAATTATAATTACAGAGAACAGTTCGTATTACTCCTTTTCCAGCACCTACCATTAAACCTGTTGGTCCATTCATGTTGTCAATCCAACCAGGCATTGGTTCTTTCCATGATGCGACCACTAAAATTTAAATTAATTAATAATTTATAACAAATTATATTAAATATTCATAAATTTTAAAATCATATTGCACTTTTATTATAAAAAATATATAGTTCAAAAAACTAAAAATAATAAAAATCATTTTTCAAAAAATATTTAATTAGTTAATATTTTTGAATCTTTTGAAATAAAGATGCAATATATACATAAAGAAAATTTATATATTCTTATTTAAAATACCTATAGAAGGTCTTGCAACACCTGCAGGTAAACCACTCTTCTGCACCAAATCTTCAGCAAGTGCTTTACTAAAGGCATAAGTGTTTGGTAATCCTTGTAATATTTTTGGTGTCATGATTTTTTGAAAATCATCTGTCGTATCATTTACTATTTTTACAATTTTTTCAAGTTCTATAGGAGCAGGATAATTTCTTTCTTCAAGTACAGATTCATTACAGTGACAGTACGAAGTAGAAACATGAATGAAGGATTTTAAATGCTCCATCTATGTTAAAAATCAAAACATAATGTCAAAATATCGAAAAAAATGTTTTAAGAAAAAATGGTAATTATTTTACTCAGAAAAAATCAGAAATAATTAAAATAAATATTCTTAATTTAAGTAATTTTATATTCTTAATTTCATAAAATTAATAAATATGTACCTCTTTTGCAAGATTTATAACATTCTTAGTACCCAGAGTATTTATTGTTATTGCCTGTTTTAATGTCAAATCGAATTTAACATTTGCCGCCATGTGAAAAACTATGGAAACTTCTTTTAATAATTTTTGTTTATCGGCAGTCGATAAAGCAAGATGTTCGTCAGTAGTATCACCTTGTATTAATTTAATTTTTTCTATTTTTTCAGGATATTTTTCTTTAATTATTTTAAGTGGATTTTCCTGAAAAATTAATCAATTTATCATATATTTATATAACAAAAATCTTTTATATATGTAATGAAATTAAAATTTTTATACAATCATTCCAATGCGCAATTCTCATTCAAAGCAGTAACAGAAAAAAAAATACTTGAATTGAGAACGGAAGCGATTTCTTCATATAAAAATGCAGTTTAATTATTTATGTGCATATATTTCTGTTACATTGAATATATATTCTTAGTGATTTTCTAGGACATCTTAAAATCATATATAGTGAAATTACTGCATACCATAAGCTTAGGTATCCCTTTCACTTTCGTTCATGTATTATTACAAATATATCTTATTAAATTATTAATATAAATAAATATTTTTAAGTTATTGAAATATCAATTATAAGTAATAACAAATAATATAAACGATATATTTAATGCGAAATTTATAATAATAATATCTATAATAATAGTATTATATCTATAATAATTAATAATTTTTCATGAAAAATATCGTAAGATAAAATCTCTAAATAATTTTCTTGAATATAAATTGATTGATATTCTTTTGATTATTGGCAAGAATTATATTTTAAAATATAATTCATAATCAATAATTGACCAAATCATAATAAATTTTTTGCATTGTTCAGTTCCGGATAATAGTATTTGAAATAAGAAATACAAAAATTTATCTCAAATTACTTCAACTGATAATTAATTTGCTAATAATTTATTTCTATATTAATAAAAACAGCTTTAATACTTTATTAATAAATTTTAATTAATAAATTTATTTAATATATTTTAAATAAATATTTTCTTTTGTATGCAATTTGTATATTTATTGCCATAAAATAAGTGAAATACATGAAATCTTTAAATATTACTTTAATTTAACAAAATTACCTCAATAATTTCCCATACTTTTTACATGAAATGTACACAATAGTAGCATTGATGCTTTTTCTTTTAATTTTTTTGTGAGCATTACTCATGACACATATTTGTATATGGTATATATCTTATATTCATTATGGCATATACCAATCTAGTATTAAAATAGTTAAAGTAATTAAGAAGGACTAGAAATAAATGAATTTTAAAAAATTTTTCATTCGAATTGAAAAATTCAATTTTTTTCAAAATAAAAATTTTAAACGAAAACTTCCAATTTTATTTTTTTAAATGAAACTGTATATCTATATATATTTCCATATTTTAAAAATTAACGTTTACATTAATTTAAAAAAAAAATAAAAATACATGAACGAATACATGAAAAAAATAAAAATACATGAATCTGGATAATATTTTACAAAATTAAAGTTAAAGACACAAACAATCTTAATTTGTTAAGATGAGTTATTTCTTAATTAAAAACTCGTTTTTGTATAAAATTTAATAACAAGGTTAAATTTTAGTTAGATCAATTTTTAATTCGTGCAAAATAACAAAATATTAAATAATAAAATAATAAGTAAATGATAAGTAAAAAGTTAAATATTTAGAACATTGATAAGTTGAACGAAAAGTTAATCTTTTCTTAATAATGCCATTTTGTAAAGAAAATAACAAACAAATAATAATAAATAAGATATTTTAGCTTGTTTCTAAAAAAAAAAAAGAAAAGATGGAATTAAACTTGAAATCTCTAAAATTTCACTACCTCCATATATATATATGACGTACCACTCGAAATCATTTAATGTTTGTTGCCTTTGCGAAATTTTCAAATTTCTGGAAACATTAGAAAGATTTTAAAAGAAATGTTGTTTTGATATAACCTGTTCCTAAAATTTATTTTAAAGCACTATGAGTTATAATAATTTTTTAATTTAATTTTAATATAATGTAAAATATCTCATACTTTTATCATATATTGCAGTCTAGATTGCGGATCGACATCTTTCTTTTTTCTAATTAATACAAAAATATTTTCAAGATGATCACAGCTGATCAACAGTTTATAGATTAAAACCTTTCCCATAAAACCAGAACCGCCAGTGATGAAAACGTTTCGACCTTGAAGCCATTCCGAAATAGATGGTATGTCTGATGCCATTTTTAGAAAAGCTGTAAGAGGAAGAGAATGACCTTGAAAAAATATCTCCAAAGAGTGGTTAAACCTGTTTATAGAAGATAAATGCGTATTTAAACACGTGTTTTTAATTAGATATTATAAATTTGTAAATGTAAATTTTTCTCATTCTTTTCCTTATTTTAATATAAATTATAATTTCATTTACTTATTATCAGATAAAATTTGAATACAATTACAATAATTATTTTTCCATTCTTATATTGAAAATATAAAAATATAATTATATAATATAATATATACATTTCTTATTATATATATATTGTAGTTTTCGTTTTCTTTTTGGATATCGAATAACATGGAAAGATTCATAATTAAATAAATTGAAAATTTGTAGAGCAGAATGAAACAAAAAAATCTAAGCATAAAAAAAATAATACTATTAATTTTATATTAAACACAAGAAATATAATAATAATATAATAATATAATAATATAATATAATAATATAATAATATAATATAATAATATAATAATATAATAATATAATAATATAAACATAATAATAAAAAATTTTTCATAATGAAAATTTTTAATATATTTATATGGGAATGCAATAAATCACTTTATATCAGGATAATTGATAAAAGAGAGAGAAAATATAATTTAATCAGAGAAAATATAAAATATTATTTTATTAGTATTAAAACAAGCATCTGTTTACATTATTAATAATTCAAAGTATTTTGTAATCTATTACGGATATTTTTTGATCTTTAGAAATTTTGCTATCGTGCTTAGAATATCATTAAAAATAAAAAAGATTGCATGAATATTGTTTTAAATTTTATAGAATATATTGTATAATATACATGATATTTGTTTCTCAAATCTTAAAAATTATTTATAACAAATCGATGATATTTTGATCAATTTTCTATATATAATTTTTTAATATATTTTATCAAAATTGTATAATATATTCATGACTGAAAAAAAATTAGATCTAAAAATGCGAATTTAATTAATTGATTTTCAAAAAATCCAATACATTCATAGAAATAAACATGCATAATAACAAAATGTTATTTCTATAATTAAATTTATTTTCAATTATATTATAAATAAATATTTTTTAATGATATATTTATATATCATATTATAATAATGAAATATTGATGAACAAGCGAGTAAAATATCTCTTGTGCTTCTTACGCACATATATTTTTTCCTGCTGCAAGATTTCTTCCATCATATAATATATTTCTTTTTCTAGAAAATTAATTTTTTATATATTATATAATTAGGTTTTAATGAAAATAAAATGTTCAAATTTTTTAATTTTTTTTTTCATTTTGGTCATGTATAATCGTTTCTTATTGTTACTTTTTTTTATTATTTTATGACAGAAAAACAGGAAAAAATTTTTTGTTTATGCGATAACATTGATTGCCAATTATGGTAAAAATCGCTTTGTTACAGTATTATTTTAATTATATTTTATAGTTATTTTTAATTATATAAAGATATATTTGAAAGATCCAAATTTTTTTTTTATTTTTCTATATTAATATTTTTATTTAATTTTAATCAAATTTCGATAAAAGTGCACTGTACTTTTTTTAATTTATATTTATATTTTTTAAATTTATATAAGATTAATCACATATAATATAGATTATCGAATTAGTTTATTTTAAATTAAAGTATAACACAAATTAATTATACTTTAAAATCAAACAATTCAATTATATCAATTTTTTTAAAAATGATGAATCAATCATATTATCCAATCAGGAAATTAATAAAATTAAATGAAAATTTTCATTATGTATAAACTTATTGTTTATTATAAATTAAATCACTAATTAATCTATACAATGTAAATGATATTCCATAGTCTTACTAATATATATTACTAATTAATCCATTAGTAATATATATTATTCTCCATAATTTATGCAACTTTATACTGTTGATTCTAATTTTATATCATATTGCAATACATACCTTATGAAAGGTGATAAATAAATGAATAAATAAAAATCAATCACGAAAAATTCTCAATATGCACAATTTTATCACTTTTCACAATTCTAAAAAAATTGCATCAAATAATTAATAATATATAAATCAAAAAGAAGAAAGAAAACGAAATTAACTATTTTTTCAATTTAAGTAGTGATCGATGAATAACAGAAACGAAGAAAAAGATCCTCGATCATAAGAAAGCAACGAGAGGTTCTGACAAAATGGCTAGTACGTTCGCTATAAATATCTGTGTGGTGGGAATTTATAGGATAGAAGGTATCAAGAGATTGGTAATTCTTTGACTTAATAAAAATATAGGAAATATCAATTGATCATATTTATTCATTTTATTTCATTCGATACATATCATTTTGTTTATCATGATTGGATGTTGGTTGAAATAAGATGAATTAGATATTGTAGAAATCGATTCACCTAAATCTCAAATTAATTCGAATGAAATAGCGCGAAGATTAGACTGCGCGCGCGAGTTGATTTATTGGTTTAGTTAGCGCAGCCTTAACGAAACAAATGAGGTTTGAATTACTTTACATTTAAGCTTCGTTTTTAATTGTTTCACAAATTATATCAATAATTCAAATTTTATTGTTTTATTATATATTTTTCAAATAAAAAATCAAACAAAACAGAAAAATAAAAAAGATATTTCTTTATTAATTTTTAATTTTGAAGAAATTTATAATATAATTTTTATTATAAGTTATACATTATAATTCTTTTAATACAAAATTAAATTATTTAAAAAATATACTATATATATTAAATAACATTACTTTCCAACACCATTTTTAAAGAAAAGTATATAAAAATTTTAAATGTGTTCTTAATACTAATAATACTAATAACTTTTTATTTCTTATTTCGTATCAAAAAAAGCAATGTTTGTAATATATATTGATATATATTATATATTTGAATTATGTTAAAATATAATAAATCATCAAATATACTTTATATAGAAGTATAGTTTGATTTAAATTTTATGTATAATTTAAAATTGATCAAAAAGAAAATAAGCAAATGGAATAATAAAACCAGTTTTAGTCCATGTACTAGCAAAGATAGTTTTGATCAGCCACCAAATAAGTCCTAGCAATGCAAATTGTAAACCCACATGAGCAACTAATAATCTAAAAATATTTAAAAAAAAATGAATTTTATATTAATATATCATTTTTTTTAATAAGAAAAGAAAAAGACTCACATTTTATTTTTAAAACGAGCTCTTGTCAATGTTTTTGGTGATTCTTTATTTAAGTATGTCCTAACTCCTTGTGTTAAATTAACAAAATAGTCTTCCCATATTAATGGTTTAATATCTAAATTGAAGAGATTTTTATCAAGATCAGATAAAGAATTATGTAATTCAATTGTGCGAGTATTATAAAACTTCCATTCAGTGAAGATAAATTTTTCTAATCGGTTCAATGAGTTATTAATATTTGTATGTAATCGTACCAAACTATAAAACATAAATATTCTTATTAATTTTATTTATATATAATTTTACGTGAAATAATTTTACATGAAATTATTATAATTTATAACTTACATTGGTCGTCCACCAGCTAACTTTGTAATTGTATCCAAAATATATGCTGGAATTAAATGCACAAATATTGCAGAGATCTTAAATAAAAAAATTGAAGACAAAAATTTAAGATGTGGATACCAAACTGCACTTTGCAATGGATATGTATGTAAATAATTATTGATTTTTGATTCTATAAAATTCCATTTAAATGGATTACATGTACTAGATGTACAATGATATACTTTCAACTCTTTCTTTCTACAACAAAGAAATATTATTGAAATAATAACGAAATAATTTCAGAATAACATAAAAATATGATATTATACATAGATATTAATTTTAATTCATTTTCATTAGAAATTTGAATATACCTATCTTGATTAACAGCATAAGCAGCAATTATAATATTGTTTACAACAATATCTACTGGAATATAATCATAAATTAATTCTTTTGCAACTGGTAACCTTCTTACAACACCTTTGCTAGCACCCATTAAAAATCCTTGAGGTCCATTTTTCGATATTGTCCATCCAGGCACTGGTTCTTTCCATGATCCTATAACTATAAATATAAAACATTTAAAATATATAATATTTAAAATTATATATAATTATAATAATTTTCTTTCTTTAAATTTTATTTTAATTAATTTACTAATAAAATTACTAAATATAAATATTTAAGAACATTTTCATATTTAATATACATACTCATTGATGGACGTACAATAGCAGCAGAAATACCACCATTTTTAACTTCATGTTCAGCTAAATGTTTTGTAAATGTATAAGAATTTGGATGATCTTTTATTATATGTTGTTTTTTAGTTTCTAAAGTTATATTATCTAATTTTTCTTCAAGTTCAAATAATTCATTTACATCAAATGGTGCAGGATATAGATATTCTTGTACTTCACATAATGTTGAGTTTACATATGCACTAGAAATATGTACCAGAGCCTGGAACAATAAAAAGTAAAAAGAAATTATATTTCATATTAAGTAAAAAATAAATTATAATTATTTAACTAAATATTTTACTTTGAGATCTCTTATTTCTTGACAAAGCTGTACAACTCTTCGTGTACCCAATAAATTAATATTTATATTAGTTTTTAAATCTGCTTCAAAATCTAATGTTGCTGCAGAATGAAAAACAATTTGAACCTCTTCAACAAGAGTTAATCTATCTGAAGATGATAATCCTAGATTTTCTTCTCCTATATCACCAGCCACAGGAATTAATTTTTTCAAAAGTTCTATTTTATTTTCTTCTTTTAATCTATCAAATACCTAAAATAATATATGTAAAATAAAATTAATTAAAATATTAGAAATAAAAGAATATAATATAATTTAAAATTAATTAATATCATTTATTAAATATTTTAATATTTATGAAATAAACATATATAACTTTTCAAAGTTAAAGTCATATAAAAAAATGTTTAATTTATATATGTATTGCACATATAATTTTGATACACAATTATAGTTTAAAATAATAATGAATGAAAATATTTTCATATTTATTAAAATATTAATTAATATTAATTAATTATTGAAAAAGTATAAATACTTTGATATTTTTTAGATAAGATAAATAAAAATTATGATTCAAAGAAAAAATTAATATATTAATAATTCAATAATATCATAACATATAATGCATATTTAGAATATATATTTCTTACCGAATTTTTTTTAAAGTCTTCCAATCTTTCATCTATTTGTTTCCCTTTTTTTGGTCGTAACAACAAATAAATATTTTTTATATCAGGAATGGATCTTAATAATTTTTCGATTAAACAAATTCCGAGAAAGCCAGTTCCACCAGTAATAAAAATAGTTTTATCATTGTAAAAATCAATCACGTTTGATACCATTATAACTTGCTTTTGCAATATTTTTATTTTAAAAATTTCACAAGTACAGAAACTTATGTTCTGTAAGAAACTGTAAGAAACTGTAAGAAACGAACGTTGAGTGAGCCACGACTACACGTATAGTAAGTACTTATAATATGACACGAATTCAGCATCACTTGTAAATGTAAATTATTCGACCAATAGTGATGTTGAATTTATTCGTCGTGTGTATTACGTCTGTGTAACTCATTTAGTGATGACGAATTCGCATAACATTTATTCGCTTTTTGAATAATATTTTTGGATAATATGTAATAATTATAGATAATTCGAGATATTTGTTTTTTTTCTTATTAAAAAAAATTTTTCATTAAAAATAACAAAGAAGCAATGATAACTAATATTATAATATATAACTTATATTCTTTTTATACTAATATATTATTATATTATTATATTATAATATTATTATATTATTTTATACTAATATATTATAATGTTTGATATATGTTAACTATTATGATCTTATAATTAAATATGCAATAAAAAATATAATATAGTTAAACAATCTTTCAATAAATAAAATATATATAAAAAATATTAAATTTTATTAAATTACATTAAATATTAAATATTTTTTTCGTTTGTAGCATAATGAAACAATTTTATTCATGATTATTTTATCATTATTAATACTTATTTTCTTTAATTTTTAATAGTATAATTTATTTTAGTATATTAAGTATATTATATTTTATTATGTATTCTTGTGTTTATTTATTTATTCATATTATATTTATTTTTTTAAAAAATTTAATAAATAATTTAAATTGGAATCAACATGACTTGGAAAATCAAATTGTTTGAATAACACATAACATTCATGTTATATTAATATTTAATATATATATATATTATTAACATTTATATAATATATACATATTATATCATGTATAGTTAATAAGCAAATTTTCTAATATCCTTAGAAATAAGTGATTTTTAATTCATTGATATAATTATTTGAGATCAGAATTTAATTGTTATAACTTAATTGTTATAATTATATAATATAAATACAATTCATTAATATTCAATAGTTATTATGAATAGTTTTTTCTCATTCTTTTCCTTATTTTAATATAAATTATAATTTCATTTACTTATTATCAGATAAAATTTGAATACAATTACAATAATTATTTTTCCATTCTTATATTGAAAATATAAAAATATAATTATATAATATAATATATACATTTCTTTTAAATTAGAAAAGTACAATTATTTATATTTTTATATACATATATATGGAAAATTATATGATATAATGGTACAATATTCAATCGATAATGATATATTCTAGATATTCCATAGTCAATTTGAAAACAAAAACTAATTTTAAGTTTTTATTCACTAATTTAATCACTATTAATCACTAATTGCAATGAATTACGCAGTAAACGATCGAGGAAAAAAGAAAAGAGACATATCCACTAAATGTTGAGAGGTATGATATGAAACTTATATTTAAAAAAATTAATATTGATATTTGATTAAATAAATGCAAGAAAAATGACAGAAAGTGAGACATCTCAAAGATAATAGGATC